CTGTACTGATAAGAGAATAAGCTGCTGCTTTATCAAAGCAGAGATTACTTAGAAATGAAATATGATGATAAAAGTAAAGATTTTAAAAAATATATTTGTAAGACACATACAAGGGTAAGCAAAATGCACAAGGCAGAACTATTGGGACTCTTGAAATGATCCAATTCTCCGATGGTCTTTCTCCTACCAGAGAGACATGCTTAGTTTTCTATAGTTAGCACCCCGCCCTCCTAGTTAATAGTCATTAATTTGTCCTTGAAGTTCAAAGGTAACATTTTGTATCCTTATTGCAAATTTACATAATGTTTATTATCATTTTAGCCTTCAAAAAGAGTTTTCTAAACTAAATTCCTTTTTCTTTTTTTTAACGCTTCTCTTCATGTCAATGATGACATCTCTTTTGGGCACTCAGGGGCCAGCCAAAGGTAAGAGATTTGATTTATTATTGTTATGTGCATATTTTTGAAATACTGGAAGATCTTATGTGCATAGTGTTGAAGGACTAGAATTTTCTTCTCAAAAATAAAAATACTTTCTGTCAGTTTTATATAAAAGTAATGCAGGCTGTCAGCCTCCTCACAAATCTGAAGCTGTTTATTGGCATAGGAGGGACTGGAGGGTTATGGAAAAGCTGTATTTGCAATTTGACCAAATTCTGGCCAGTTTCTTAGCAACGACAACACAGATTCCTTTTGTGCCATAGGCTGGCTCAAAACTGGTAGTTCCAAACTGTGGTCAAAACCGTGCTGGGCCAACTCATCCTCCTTGCTCCTGTGATCACCGCACATACTCCCAGGCCAGAAGAAACCTGCCGGGGCCCACAGCTTCCTCAAAGGAATGTGCTGTGATCTCAGATTTGAGACTAGATTCTGAGGAAACTTCTGCAGGGTGGGCCAGTTCCTCTGTCTCTTAGGTGTGTTGGAGTGCACAAGGACTGTATTTTTTAAGCGACTATTCATTCTCTGAAGTTTCCTGGAACTGCCAGGAAAGTGAGATTTTTATCTCCCTTCTTGGAGTTTAGTTTTTGTTTTAGAGTCTGTGGTTGAATTATAATTCCATTCTCTATTATCGTTGCTAAGATATGTATAGACAAGGCTATTTAAGACTTTGAACAACTTTAAAAAAAAAATAGTTGAATGTAGCACTGATGTCTTTTTTTGGCAGCTGGCTGGTACCCAGATCTGAACCGTTGACCCTGGTGTTATAACACTGTGCTCTAACCAACTGAGCTAACTGGCCAGTCCGTGATTTCTTTATATGTGTAAAACCTAACATCTTTTCTATGGAAAAAGTGCTGGAGTATTTTTATTTTCTTATTTTTTGTTGGAGCAGAAGCTGGAGATGGTAGTAAAGATGCAAAGAAACCATTACACGACTATTTAAAAACCGTTCATGTTTTATTTAATTCAACTGTGCCTTCATGTTCAGAGAATGTTGTAGTGACTAAAAAATGTGGAAAGATGAACACCTCATTATTCACACAGTGGCCGTCTTTAGAGAGAGGTGTTCTTGGTGAACGGGGAGACCTTTATTTTTTACTTTATGCCTCTGT